AAATTTTCATCGTATAATAGACAGGTTCATCTTTCAAAATATTTTGAAGGATGTGCATGTACATAATAACAGCATTTCAAAATAAAATTTGTATTTATCAAATATAACTTTCTCTCTATTGGTGTTAGGTTTGTTCGCTGATATTTGGACGTAAAATTATAACTACTTTTTTACTGAAGGTGATACATTTTTATATACATGTATTTACTAGTAAGATATATTTTATTTCTTTATCAAAATATTAAACTCCATGATATAAGTATTCATCATCAAAACCTTTTTTGTGGCTATTTCTTTAGTAACTTAATGCAGCTTTTTGTTGATACATTTCTTTTTATTTTTCATTTAATTCGGTATTGCCTAAACACTAGTTTTGAACGTAATAATAGTAACAGTAAGTTCATATCAGGATAGCAAAATATATGTATTCTACACTGTACTGTACAATGAATTTAAAATAATCATTATTATATACTTATAAATGAAATATTGAGAAATATTGATAAAATAAAATGCGTGTTTTCATTTTCCGTATTTTCACTGTAAAAAAATGATTTTTCACTGCAGTCTTGCAGTCTTCACTACTTTCTTCTAAGTTCAGCCAATACACAAACTTTAAGGAGGAATCTTTCAAATTGTAATATAAAAATGAAAAAAAATGTTTATAATAAACAGAAAATTCAAGTTTTTCTCTATAAATACAGGATTTATTTTCATCTTGTGGTATGAAAATTATCATATTTCACTCGTGGCTACCGCCACTCATGAAATATTTATTTTCATTCCACTCAATGAAAGTAATTCATATATTTATAGAAAAAACTTGAAAATCCTCTATTTATTTATTTATTTATTTATTTATTTATTTATTTATTTATTCATTTATTTTTTCCTTTGCCAATCCCAAAGTGGTGAAAATATGACAATAAACAGCAACTTATTCAACATGTTCATAAACATTATATATATTATTATCAACCCATCAATGTTCTTTTTTTCTTTCAGACATTTTTATTAATACAAAGACAACATGTTTGGAGAGACAACTGAAAAACTATCAGTTAAATCACGGCGATTTTTCTGGGTGGCTTTAATTCTAACTATCATCGGACTTCTTCTGACCATAATAGGTGTATGTATGCCGTTCTGGACCTCGATTACGGACTTCGCACACTCCGGGGTGTTTCAGGCGTGTATATGGACCTTCAAATCGTGTTCTTCTACGCGAGATTTGGAATTAGTGTATAAAGAGGGTAATATAGTCAAAGAGATAATTCCGTTTCCCTAAATATGTTATAAGCGATTAATTCTTATTTTGCATCAGAAAATATTGCGAATGTATAAAACTGATCATTTTTGCGGGCATATCATTTGTGGAGGCATGTTTCACGTGTTTCTTTGATGATAAAAATATGCACACCCGCAAATCATTAAATGAAAATTGTCTGTGATCTTGTTTTTCCTTTGTATTCATATTTAATATGTATAATTGATTTAAGTAACATTGCTCTAATTGTTTTATTTGCTCTATTTTCTTTAATTGTTAAAGATGTTCTGTAACGATATTTAATCTGTCTAAAATTTCTTAGCTTTGCTTGAGTAATAACTAATAACGTACGCCACGTAAAAGGAACAAAGTTCGATTGGAAAGGAATTTTCTAAAAGGTTATGCAAAACTCTGCAAAGGATAGCGATGTGTGATTTGTTAATGAATGGCGTAAAAAAAGTTAAATCGTTCATGTTAATACTCATACATTTATCTTTGTTTAGCCAATTTCATGCAACTGCTGTGGGGACTGACACTGGCCGGGTTGTTTTCCTTGCTGCTGTCCATCGTTTTTATGGCAGCATACCCTACTCACAAAACAGTGGACTATTGTAAAATAGCTATAGGAATATTTGTGTTGGTCTTCCTTGGTATCGGAGGTGGGTATTTTTCATACGTACTAGCATCTAAATGAAAACTTGAGCCTTTACCGTGCTGACAATGAAGGTGATTTTGCCTGTGCCACTAGTCTACTGCCAGCCAAGCACACATGTTGAGTCCGACAAGGCTCCACACTGCTTGTAGCTCAACTTGAGTGTTTTGATATTAAAATCACCCACTCTTTAAATAGGCTGTATCAAATTCAAAGCAAGGAAAATCCTTGAAATAAACTCTGTAGGTTTTAAGGGTAAATCAAAATTCCATGTAAAAGTGATGTACTTCTTATGATGATAGGCAAATATTTATTTTACGCATGCGTATGTTGTGGTCCGAAATCACTTACTTGGAATTTTGTGATTGTGATCAAAGAGTTTGTTACCTTAATGATAATACACGTAATTGACGATATTGAAAAGGTAACTTAGTAATTAATAACTATAATTAACAACTAACTTAGAAACTAAAAAATTTATGGTATATTTTGATGGACAAAACTAAAACATTCATTATAAGTATAATATTCTATAAATCATATAAGTAGAATATATGTATTACAATGTATGTTATGTTTTCAATTTTGATCTTTTATTTTTCAGTAATTCTCACACTTATTGCCCTTATTGTGTACGTCGACTTTAACGTTTGGAAAGGACTTAACATCAAAGATGCCTTTGATATTATCGGCTGGGCCTGGTACCTAACTCTTGTGGGTCTTATCATCCTGGTTGCCGGCTTTATCTGCTTTATATTGCATATGTTTTTCATGATGTACGAGGAAGTCGGCACGACGGAACCAGTGTCAACCCACCAGCATTATTCCGAGAGAGATTACTTCAGCCGAAGTAAAAAATATTGATGACTTGACTGTGTCATCTTATAAAAAATAATTGGTAGTAGGCTATGCAAATCTTAAAAGTTTATCTTTAATGTTGTGAGATACATTTAACGTTTAATACCATTTTGTGTAAAAGAAAGGTGTTTAAAAAGAGAACATTTGAACAGATAAAGACATATGCGTATCTTAGTCAAATAAAAATCCATGCATTTACAATATGAAATTGTGTGGTCCATAAAGCACAAAACCTGGATAGGCGAGAACACTTTTCATCTTATACTGTAAGGATCTAACACCGGCTGCGAGTGCAGACCGGAATACCTGGTGATTGTTGTATTGTGGTATGTATTAAAACTATCGTATCTCTACGTACTACGGTGTTCCGTTTTGGACAATCGTGCTTTTTTATTTTGTCTGCACCTGCGATGCACAATGGTACGATGGTGAAAACACGATGGTACGATGATGAATACGCGATGGTAAGATGGTGAAATCGCGATGGCGCGATAGTACGATGGTGAAAACACGATGGTACGATGATGAATACGCGATGGTAAGATGGTAACATCGCGATGACGCGATGGTACGATGGTGAAACACGATGGTACGATGATGAATACGCGATGGTAAGATGGTGAAATCGCGATGGCGCGATAGTACGATTGTGAAAACGCGATGTTATATCGCGTTTTCGCCATCGTACCATCGCGATTTCACCATCGTACCATCGCGGTTTCACCATCGTACCATCGAGGTTACACCATCGTACCATCGCTTCATCGCGTTTTCACCATCGTGCCATCGCGCTTTCACCATCGTGCCATCGCGTTTTCACCATCGTACCATCGCGTTTTCACCATCGTGCCATCGCGTTTTCACCATCGTACCATCGTGTTTTCACCATCGAACCATCGTGTTTTCACCATCGTACCATCGTGTTTTCATCATCGTGTCATCGTACCATCGCGTTCTCACCATCGTACCATCGTGCATTGCGGGTAAGGACGAAATAAAAAATCACCATTGTCCAAACGATGGTGAGAACGCGATGGTACGATGACACGATGATGAAAACACGATGGTACGATGGTGAAAACACGATGGTTCGATGGTGAAAACACGATAGTACGATTGTGAAAACGCGATGTTATATCGCGTTTTCGCCATCGTACCATCGCGATTTCACCATCGTACCATCGCGGTTTCACCATCGTACCATCGAGGTTACACCATCGTACCATCGCTTCATCGCGTTTTCACCATCGTGCCATCGCGCTTTCACCATCGTGCCATCGCGTTTTCACCATCGTACCATCGCGTTTTCACCATCGTGCCATCGCGTTTTCACCATCGTACCATCGTGTTTTCACCATCGAACCATCGTGTTTTCACCATCGTACCATCGTGTTTTCATCATCGTGTCATCGTACCATCGCGTTCTCACCATCGTACCATCGTGCATTGCGGGTAAGGACGAAATAAAAAATCACCATTGTCCAAACGGAACACCGTATTACGTATTTCACTTCATGTCACACGATGAAAATGAATCCCGATGGAATGATATCCAGTTTATGTGTTTGTATTGCTTTAATTCTAAAATTGAAGGAAACAATATTATGCGCATATTCTTGCATATCTGACTGGTATTTTCTTTTGTTTGTTAGTTTGTTTCAACTTTCATTACTGAATAAATCTGTTATACTAATTTGTAAGTGTTTGCTTTTGGTTAAACTTTACTTATTGATCAGTGGTATTTTATTTTGTTGTTGTTTTATCACACACCCGTGCCGATTTTGCGACTCTGTAAATATGGTATTGCACGGCCGTGCATATATTTTGACGTGACGTCATTATCGTTATATAAACATAGTTTATCACACACCCGTGCCGATTTTGCAACTCCGTAAAAATGGTATTGCACGGCCGTGCATATATTTTGACGTGACGTCATTAGCGTTATACAAACATAGTGTAAAGACGCGCTAAATGTTAGCGTTATACTATATAGGCGCGTCAATGAAAAATGACTCTTATTTTTCACTTTAAACGGTCTTTATTTTTGGTATGTGATAAATAGAATATTAAATTCGTGTAAGTTCATTACTGAATTTATTGCACTCGTTGAATTAAATAATATTATGCTCGCCAGAGGCTAGCATAATATAATTTTTATTCAACTCGTGCAATAAATTCAGTATTGAACTTACACTCATTCAATATCCTCTATCTACCCATGGCGTGATATTCATTTTAAGACCGTACGTATTATTTATTCCAAATATAAAATTGACGTCGAATGACGTAAGCATATTTGACGTCACTTGTGCTATAAACGCCATCACCAACGTGACAACGTTATTCTTTAATTTCACTTGACTTGTTCAAGTGACTAGCAACACAAAATCTCTCTCAGAAAAAGTTACTCTGCTTAGAAGCTGAAACGTCGGTTTTAAGAAAAGCCTGTGATCAGATCATAGTGCTTAACCAACGTCTCAGTGATATGCAGAACGCTACAAGAAACGCCAAGACACAACACAGAAACAGACACTTCCAGGCTAGCCTGAGACGGAAGTTTGGCGGGAATCGAAGGGTAGTCGGAACATGTATCACGATTACGCCAGGATGAAGGGAGAAACAGATTGCAGAACTTCGAGCAGAACTTTTTGCGTGAATTCAGTGGAGATTAGTGTCGGGGTAATTTCTGTCTGATTCACCAACCCGGTCCTTTTTTAGGACCAACAAATAAATCGAAGGAAACTTTTCATATATTGTCAAAATATTGTCTTGTTGTTTTCATTGGGTGTAATACAATAATATATATAAATAATTTTAGCAGCTGCAAAGCAGCCAGTAGTAATAGTAAGCAGCAGCAGCAGCAGCAAGCAGCAGTAGTCATATAGTAGTAGAAGTAGTATGAGTAGTAGTAGGAGCAGCAGCAGCATATTATATAACAGATTTTTTAGCAGCAGCAGCAGCAGCAGCCAGCACAGTAGTAGTAGTAGTATTTAGTATGAGCAGGCTGCAGTAGTAGTAGCTGCTGCTTGCAGGTAACAGTTTATAGTAAGTAGCAGTAGCAATAGTAAGTAGGCAGCAGCAGGCAGCAATAGTAGTAGCAGTAAATAGTAGTAAGCAGTAGCAGCCTCAGCAGCAGCAGAAACAGTAGTAACAGTAGTAGCAGTATCAGTTGCAGCAGCAAACCAGTAGTAGCAGTAACAGGAGAAACAATAGCAAAAGCAGTCACAGTATAAGCAGTAACAGTAGTAGCAGTAACAGTATTAGCAATAACGGTAGTAGCAGTAACAAAAACAGTAGTAGCAGTAGTAGCAGAAACAGTTGTAGCAGTAGCAGTAACAGTAGAAGCAATAGAAGCAAAAGCAGTAACAGTAGTAGCAGTAACAGTAGTAGCAATAGCAGTAGTAGCACTAAAAGTAGTAGCAGTTACAGCTGTCACAGTAGTAGCAGTAAAGTAGTAGCAGTAACAGTAGTAGCAGTAACAGTAACAGTAGAAACAGAAGCAGTAGTATCAGTAACAGTAGTAGCAGTAGAAGCAGTAACAGCACTAGCAGTAAAGGAGTAGCAGTAAAGTAGAAGCAGTAGCAGTCACAGTAGTATCAGTAACAGTAGTAGCAGTAACAGAAGGAGCAGTAAAAGTTGTAGAAGTAACAGTAGAAGCAGTAGCAGTAGTACCAGTAGCAGTAGCAGTAACAGAAGAGCAAGTAGTAGTAGTAGTAGCAGTCACAGTAGAAGCAGTAACAGTAACAGTAGTAGCAGCAGCAATAGTAGTAACAGTAATAGTAGAAGCAGTAACAGTAACAGTAACAGTAGTAGCAATAAAATTAAAAGCAGAAGCAGTAACAGTAGAAGCAGCAGTAGCAGCAGTAGTAGCAATAACAGAAGTAGCAGTAACAAAAACAATAGCAGCAGCAGTACTAGTAGCTGCAGTATCAGGAGAAACAGTAGCAGTTGTACCAGTAGCAGAAGCAGTCACAGTAGTAGCAGTAACAGTAGAAGCAGTAACTGTATTAGCAGTAACAGTAGAAGCAGTAGCAGTAACAGCAGTAGCAGTAACATTAGAAGCAGAAGCAGTCACAGTAGTAGCAGTAGCAGTAACAGCAGTAGCAGTAGCAGTAACATTAGAAGCAGAAGCAGTCACATTAGTAGCAGTAGCAGTAACAGCAGTAGCAGTAGTACAGTAGTAGTAACAGAAGAAGCAGTAGCAGTAACAGAAGTAGCAGTAGCAGTAACAGAAGTAGCAGTAGCTGTACCAGTAGTAGCAGTAGCAGCAGTAGCAATAGCAGTAGTAGCAGTAACAGTAGTAGCAATAACAGTAGTAGCAGTAACAGTAGTAGCAGTAGGAGTATCAGAAGTAGCAGTAACAGTAGTAGTAACAGAAGTAGCAGTTACAGTAGTAGCAGTAGCAGAAACAGTAGTAGCAGTAGCAGCAGTAGTTACAGTATTAGCAGTAGCAGTAACAGTAGTAGCAGTAACAGTAACAGTAACAGTAGTAGCAATAAAATTAAAAGCAGAAGCAGTAACAGTAGAAGCAGTAGCAGTAACAGTAGAAGCAGTAACAATAGTAGCAGTCGCAGAAGTAGCAGTAACAGTAGTAGCAGTAACAGTAGAAGCAGCAGTAGCAGTAACAGTAGAAGCAGCAGTAGCAGTTACAGTAGTAGCAGTAGCAGTAACAGTAGTAGCAGTAGCAGTCACAGTAGTAGCAGTAACAGTAGTAGCTGTAAAAGTAGTGGAAGTGGCAGTAACAGTGGTAGCAGCAGTAGCAGTGGCAGTAGCAGTAACAGTAGTAGCAGCAGTAGTAACAATAGTAGCAGTAGCAGTAACAGCAGTAGCAGAACAGCAGTAGTAGCAGAAACAGTAACAGAAGTAGCAGTAGCAGTAACAGTAGTAGCAGTAACAGTAGTAGCAGTAACAGTTGTAGCAGTAACAGTAGTAGCAGTAACAGTTGCAGTAGTAGCAGTAACAGTTACAGTATTAGCAGTAGTAGTAACAGTAGTAGCAGTAACAGTAGAAGCAGTAGTAGTTACAGTAGAATCAGTAACAGTAGTAGCTGTAGCAGTTGTAGACTCCGACTCTTTCAAGATGGATTTTTCAGTGACATAATGGATGGAGGTCTTTTTCATTTTTTTATTCGAAAAATAGAAAAGACTTAAACTCTCCATTACATTTTCGCATGCATTTCTCGAAACTAACAACTATGCGGAAGAGTTGAATACGACCGTATATATATATAAATGCAAAGCATGTACTTATTATACTTTTTGACTATAATAACTGTTTTTACCCTGACTTTTCCAAACCTATACAATATTTTCCACAGACACTTTGGGTGTGAAGCTCCAAATACGTTAAAATCAAAATAAATTGTACAGTTGTCAATCTCAGCACATTCATATAATATATTTCTTAAAACTCTGTATATAACCTATACATACACTGAAGCAGTTTTTACCGATGAAAATATATATTGTACATGCATGGAAATACTTTAGTTTAAACATTTTTTTTGAGCAAATTTACGAGCATGTATACTTTAAAATTTATTTAAGATGGAGATAATGGTTCTTTTACAGTGTACTCGCTCTTGCTGTTATCCCATTGACGACCTTGCTAGTAGAAGTCTTGGTGTTGCCCATGACACAATGTTTTGAAATTATGAATAATTTTCGATACGTATTTCAAATATTTTTGATAATGAAAAAGTTGGGGACCGGACACAAAAAGGACACCAAAAATAAAAACACACCATTTAAAGCTTTGATCTCTAATTGTGACCTTGACCTTGGAGATAAGTTATCTTGGAGATGCGTATGTCAAATAATATTTTGGTGAACATTTGTGCCAAGTTATTTTCAAAATTCCCTTGATGGATGAAAAAAGTTTACGGACCAGATACAAATGTTAACCTTTGGTCTCCAAAGTGCGACCTTAGCATTGTAGGTAGGGGACGGCAGGACACATCATTTTATAATGTGTGAACATTTTGTGCCAAGTTATATAAAAATCCCTTGATAAATGACTGAGTTGTGGACAGGACACAAAGTGTGACGGACAGACAGACAGACAAACAGACGGACAGAGCCAATTCTTATTATTCCAAGAGAGATTACTTCATCAAGTAGAAAATATTGATGACTTGACTGTGTCATCTTATGTAAATAACAGGTAGGTTATGCAAAAGGCGTAATCTTTTAAATTTTGAGATTACATTTTACATTTAATGAAAAGAACGTGGTTTTTTGTTTTTTGTTTTTGTTTTTTGTTTGTTTTTTTTAAAAAGAACATTTGAACTGATGAAAATATGCGTTTATTATATACTTATAAATCAAATATTGAGAAATATTGATGAAATGAAATAAAGTATTTTCATTTTCCGTATTTTTCACTATAGAAATTTATATTTCACTGCAATGAATCAATACATTATTTTCCGTATTTTCACTGATGTCTTGCCTGACTACTGTACTTTCTTTCTAATTGCAGCTAATACATAAAATATAAGGGACGGTCTTTTCAAATTGTAATATCAAAAGAGAAAAAAATGTCTATAATAATAGAAAATTCAAGTTTTTTAAACTATAAATACAGTTTTTATTTTTCATCTTGTGGTATGAAAATAATCATATTTCACTCAGGGTTACCGCCACTCATGAAATATTTATTTTCGTACTACTCAATGAAATTTATAGAAAAAACTTTAAATATACTCTCTATATATATGTGATCAATAAAAATCGGTAGGAAATTGTGTGGTCCATAAAGCACAAAACCTGGATAGGACGAAGGCACATTTGCATCTTATTCTTATAAGAATCTAACACCAGCTGCTAGCGCAGACCGAATATTGTTGTCTTGTGGTATGTAAATTATCATATTTCATTCTCGTGAAATGTTTATTTTCATATCACACGATGAGAATGAATCCCGTTGGAATGATATCCTTTA